TGACAAACTAGTTCCCAGTGTGTAAAACGTATTTTTATTTGAGATAATACACACTAAGTAAGAAATCAAAGATATTTTTCAGTAGTTAGATAGAAAATTAACTACTCCATTCTCAATGTTTTAATTTTACTATTTATTTTCATTTCTTATATAACTTCATATTTCTTTTTTATGTTTTACATTTTATTCTAAGATTCCCATTGTAACACTTATATCACCCTTTTTGATTATGCCTACTTCATCATTCCACACTCTGTAGCGGTTATTATTATTTATCTCTTAGTTCTTAGTCATTATTCTAACAATTTCATTTTACTTTATATTTATTTATTTTATTAATTTTTAATTTTTTTTTTAATTTTTTTTTTTACCATCACTACTTATGTTTCTCATACCTTGTTATCTGGTTATTTTCTTAGTCCTGATGAAGGCCTGAACTTCAGGTCGAAACGTCGGCATATTTAAAAAATAAATATTATCATTTATTTTTTGCCTTCCTTTTTGACTGACCATCCCAACTATTCTTCTCTTCATTATCCACGACAGTCAACCAATTACCAATTATGATTCATAATATAAAAGTTATCTGTGTTTATTTCATCATTTTTATTTTTCATTTTATTACATAGGCATAAGATGACCAAAAAGGCAATGTAATAAAACTTTTTTTTTTTTTTTAACTTTTATGATATTTACAACTGTATTAGTATGAATACATCAAGTAAATGTGTACATAGGAATATTATCACACGAAACACGCTTGTTGAGAAACTACCCATTGGTAGCACTCTAATAATTTGTCTACATGAGGAGACCACGAGGCCATCTCCTTTTCAGACGCCTCGGAGGGTTATAAGGAATCGAAGAGGAAGCAAGATTAGAAACAAGAGGATTCGGATGGTTATGAAATTTATTATGGAAGGATAGGTATGTGGATTTGGCCAAATCGGAAACATATGGAACATTGAGGTCTTTATGGATTATTTTATTTGTGTCAAAGTAAGGAGCATTGAGGATTTTACGAAGGATTTTGGATTGTAAAGATTGGATACGAGAGGAATTTGATGGTTTAGTGGAGCCCCACAGCTCAACTCCATAAGTCCAAATAGGTCTTATTATAGTCATGTATGTGAGTCGTTTGTAATTCATTGAAAGTTTAGAGCGTTTGTCCAGTAAGTGTTGGAGTATGCGGAAACGTCGAGCAGTTTCTTGTCGTTGCAGTTTCTTGCAGTCTTGTATGAGGATTCCAAGTGAGACGTTTGTCCAGCTGGAGTCCTAGGTATCGGATTTGTTCTACAGGGATAAGTGGGGTGTTATTAAAGGATACTATAGGACAGGAAGTCATTGGTTTACGACGAAGGGTAAAGGTGATTTGATGAGATTTATTGGAATTTATTTTAATCCTCCAGTTTTGACACCATTCTTCAAGGTTTGTGATGTGTGATTGAAGAGTTTGGGATGCAATTGTTGGATCATTATTAACTGACAGGATACATGTGTCATCAGCATACGTAGTGATGACAGTATTAGGATGGGTTGGGATATCAGCTGTATAAACTGTGTAAAGGATAGGACCAAGGATACTACCTTGAGGAACTCCGGCAGATTGAGAAAAGAGGGATGAATAGGTATTATTGTGATTTACTTTGAAGTGTCTATCAGTAAGATAGGAACTGATGATAAGAAAATATGTAGGGGGAAGGAATTTACGGAGTTTGTAAAGCAATCCCGGATGCCAGACTCGATCAAACGCCTGTTCAACGTCGAGAAAAACTCCAGTGCAATACATTCCGCGCTCCAATGCAGAGGAGACAACATCTACCACACGATGACATTGCTGGATAGTGGAATGGGATGTGCGGAATCCAAATTGGTGATCAGGGATTATGTGGTTAGAATCTAGGATGGGATACAGGCGTTTTATGATGATCTTCTCCAGGATTTTGCCCATGATGGGTAGAAGAGAGATAGGACGGTAAGAGGATGGGTATTCTGGTGGCTTTTTGGGTTTATGTATCATTTTGACTACAGATAGTTTCCAAGGGTCAGGAAAATATGTGGAACGGAGTACGGCGTTATAAATGTAAGTGAGGAATAGAATGGCTTTTCGAGGAAGTAGCTTAAGAATATGGGAAGTGATTAGGTCGTGGCCAGGAGCTTTGCGGGAGGGTAATCCGTGAATAATATTGGATATTTCGGAAGGATGAAATGCTTTAGGAGGAGGAGTCATTTGGAGTGGAATATCCAGTTCTGTTTCAATATATTCAAGCTGATTTGGATTAAGGATATCAGGATGTGGATTAAAAGTTTTGAAGAGGTGATGAGCAAAAATTTGGGATTTTTCTTCATCAGATTTGGACCAAGTTTGAGCTTCAGTAAGAAGTGGATGATTAAAGTCTTTAAATTTCAGGAGCCGTTTAGTCGTCGTCCACAGTGATTTGTCGGTAGGTGTAAGTTTTTCAGTAAAATTTTGTAAATTTCGAATTTTGCATTTTTTAATTTCTGATTTTAGTTTGTTAGTCAGTTGGGTATAATGAGTTTTATCTGTTGGATATCTAGTTCTATGCCACTTCGATCTTGTTCTGCGTTTTTCCTTTAATAAGATACGAATATGCTGTGGCAAGTTAGTCTTTTGTAACTTGTTAATCTTACTTTTAAAGGTGTTACTGTTGATACTGTCTGTTATTGATGTTGTTAGTTTTTCTATGGCACCATTAATGTCTTCTTTTGTCTTTAGCGGAATTTTCAAGTCTAGTTTGTTTTCCAAGTCATTACGAAATTTGTCCCAGTTTACTCGTCCTGTAATCAATTTAGGAGATGGTGGTTTAGGAGCATAGCTTGAATGTAGTGAAAGCAGCACTGGGCTATGGTCTGAAGAAAGGTCATCGAGTGATTTGATTAAGGTTTGTGAGAAGGAAATCTGGGAGGTGATAAATATATCCAGGATATCGGGACGTTTTTTGAGTGATGTTGGCCAATAAGTAGGACTCATGCGCGAGAGGATTGAATAATTGTTGGAAGATGAGATACGTGAAAGGATTTTACCGCGGGAGTTGGATGTTCGACAACCCCATCGTTGGTGTTTAGCATTGTAGTCTCCTCCAGCAATAAAGCGCGATCCGAGGGATTAGAATAAGGATTCAAGGAGGTTATAGGAGATGGAATTACCAGGAGGACAGTATACAGCTGAGAATGTGAGATGGAAAGGGCGAGTTGAAAGGACAATAGAAGTTGATTGAATGGCATCAGTTGGAGTGGAAGGAATAAGGGAGTGGGATAAAGATTGATGGATAAGGATGCAGGAACCAGCGTGGGAAGTGTTATCTGGGTGGTCAGATCTGTAAGTGATATAGTCATGTATGTAGAAATGTGTCCGTTGAGTGAAGTGAGTTTCCGTCAGAAGGGCAATGTCAATGAGATTGTCATGGAGAAATAAGTCCAGTTATGTAATAAAACTAAAAATAAAAATGGTGGAATAAACACAGCCAAACCTTATATTATAAAATGGTAATTACAGGAACAATAACACTTTTAGAGATAAATTTCTTATATATATATATATATATATATATATATATATATATATATATATATATATATATATATATATTATATATATTTATTATAATTTAAAAAGAGAATGTATTGTGATTGTTTAAGAATTTAGCTTACATAACTCACATGAGCAAATATGGATCAATGAAAAAAATATATATTTTTCCATTTTAGGGTAGAGCTTCAATTCAAAAAGCCTCTCTCCCCCACTTGTAGATTAGAATGACCGGTTGTAGTCAGAAGACGAGCATCAAACATTTGAAGAGGGGCACATTGTTACGGGTTTATGGATTTTTGAGGGGGACAAATACTTATGGGTTTATAATTTTTTTTAAACTATAATTTTTTGTTCATGGTCCTCGTTTTTATGAAAAGAGGAGCAATAAATTTTCTTGGAAGGAGAAGCGCACCATTGCCCTTGGAGGGGAAGGGCACCTCTCTATATAACAACTAGTATAGACTGGTTTTATCTTGCGTTTTACTTGATGAGCTTAAATCATCTTTCAGAATATCAGAAATAAGCTAAGCATAAATTATGTAATAATGAATATTATTTACACTCTGATTGGTACTGCAACCCCCCACATAGCCAAGGCTTCCATTAAAAGCCTTCACGAGACTGGTTGGTTGCAACAACTCTCCATTTCTGGATGTCCATAAGTTTTTAGCATCCATAAAGACAGCATCTAACCATCTTATGTTTGGCTGAAATATGTAATTTTAAAGACTTGATTGACTAGATGTGCTGCCAACTGAAAGATTTTTATGGATGAGTTGTGGGTTTATATTATTATTATTAATAGAGTTACAAATGTGAGCGAGGATAGCTATTAACAAAGCAATTTTAGTGATTTAAAATTGAAATTTAAAGGAATTTAGGCTACAAGTACTGAAAGTATATTCTTTAGCTGTAGGTAGTTATAGTGAGATTTGGTAAAAAAAATCTACAAAATATTTTATTTGATATTAATAAGTCAGATTTTTTCCAACTAATTGTATACATCCATAAATTTTCTTTACATTAATGTATTTAATTAATTGAATTATATGAAATGAAATATATCTGAAGTTTTTTATTCATGTTGAATTATATGATTGTCTATTACATCTGATTGGAATTTGATAATATATATTGATTTCTGACACATTTTTAAAATAAAAATTTTACTGACAAGTCATTAATGCAATATTATCATTGAAATTGTTGGTCTCGAACCCAAGCAACTTTTTGAACATTTATGTTTATAATTATTTTTTTTAAAGAAACCTATGCTAAGTCATTATTAGAAATATTTTTCATTTAAATCTTCTCCAATTTTTGAACTTTTGGTTGTTGATACATTGATAAAACCAATTACCTCTCCGTTTGCTAAAGAACAAAAATGTAAATTTAATCTATTGCATTTTATTTTTAAAAGATATGGATATGTATCTTTTCTTTTCAGTATCTATCGAGAGCCATGGATCTGTAGTATCTCATCTTTTATCACAAGTCAAAATAGGAATGGATCTCACTAAAGTAGCTCTACCAACATTTATTCTGGAAAGGAGATCTTTGTTAGAAATGTATGCAGATTACTTTGCTCATCCTGACATGTTTGTAAGGTAAGTTTGTGAAAAGTAAATTTACAAATTGACAAGTATTTTATTAGTCTTCTATGAAGCATTTATACTATATATACACACTCATACATGCGCGCGTGTGTTTTTGTGTGAATTTTCTTTATCTTTAAACTTACTAAATTTATTTACTTTTTATAAGAGGAGTGAACTATTATAGATAACATTTTTATAATGAGTACATGTTTATTTTGGGTTGTTATTGCATGTAGAGGCTTTCTCTTAAGGTCAGTCTATGATCAATCATTTTCTTGACAATATATTCTTTTTTATAATATGCTGTAGAGACCATGAGAGCTGGCGAAATTGGAACGAGGGTATTAGAATATCAAATTATATGATGTGGGTTCGATTTCCATCTGAATCAGTTAATATTTATTTCTTGGTAGTACCGATAAATGTATCTTGGTACTTTCACTCTGTTCAAGCTGGTAGTTAACAGGGGCTGGCAAAATGGACTAAAAGTCCCAACTTGTGAGACTAGTTTCTCCACCATCACTAATACAATATGTTATATCATGTATTAATGACACTCATAAAGGAAATTAATGTAAATATTACTCACATCAGTGTATTACAAGTAATAAATTTATGATGGTTATTGAAATATTTTAGATTCTTTTACCAATATATGACTATTATGATAGTTCTGTTACAATAAATAACAGGTACTATGTTGATATTAACCTTCCACTTAGTTAAGAAATAAATTTACCAATAAATGAAAATGTCAATAACACTGAATTGAGCAAAAATTAACAATTAACGATTAATACTCTAAATATAACCTTCCAAGGTTTGTGGTAGCATCCCCTGCATTTTGTAGTTTTTAGTTGTTTTATTAGAAAGTTGTAACAATTTTATTTTAAGCAATGGTTGACAGAACACAAGGAAAGAAGTTTAAGGATAAAGGGAAAGATATTATTTCTTAGGAATCAAGAAAATATTTCGGAAATAGTGAAGGATAATAAAGCTACTTTAAACCAGTATACATTGCAGTGATGTAATGGTGTTTGGGAACTCCAAAGATAAATCTAGTACAATTTTTCAGTTGCTTTAATCTCATTTCAAGTTTCTCTAAATAGAAGAAGATAAGGTGATAATATGTATATAAAAGCAGTGCTGTCCCTAGACATTTAGTGCCATCAGCTAATGACGTCATCTTCCCCTCCCTAAAAAACAATAAATTTATTTCTCAAGCTGTTATAAATTATGTAATATTTGAATTTTATTTCATTCAATATTTCTCTAATACAATTGCTTTATTAATAGGCTTAAATTAATTATTTTAATACTTTTGTGTATATCTTTTTAAATTCTTAACAAGTGGAGAATGCTCCTGATGATCGGCAAACTGGGGCAATTGCCCCCCCGTTGCCCCCTCACCCTAAGTCGGACACTGTTTAAAAGCTAAGAATACTTTAGAATTGTTTGACAATAGAGTTAAATTTTCTATATTTCCATTTATAGATAAACACTAAAATTACTGCTATTCCTATTTTTTTAAAATGTATATATAATTTTTCTTTGCTTAACAGTAATTATTTCATATTTAGGATTGCAGATTTACCAACTGAAAAAGAAAGGATGGTGCAGGTTGTTCAATGGTACCTATGTTCTTATCATGCTGGCAGGAAGAGCTCCATAGCAAAAAAGCCTTACAATCCTATATTAGGAGAGATCTTTCAATGCTATTGGGATATATCAGCATTTGAAAATGAAAGTAATGAATCAATGCTTGTCACTGATGGTCCAGTTCCGTGGTGCAATAAAGAACAGTTAAGTTTTGTTGCAGAGCAGATTTCGCATCACCCTCCAAGTAATAATTATAGTACTCTTTACCATTGATTTAATTATTTTTTTATTAAGATACTAAATAGAATACATATGTCTTTTAATGGGTATCTCTGAATAAACTAGCCCACGCTATCACAGTTTTAACTCCTGTCAGTGTATATGTTGTGACAGTTTATTTATACAATATTATTATTTAAGAGTATTTCTTGATTTGACGTGGAATATAACCAATTTTCAAGTTTGAATTGTCATTACTTTCTAGATCTTAAATATGTTGGTTAATTTTTCAACTTTAAATTAAAAGTGTATCAGTTCATATAGAGGAGTTAGTCATTAACAAAATTATACAGTATTTTCTTCATTTTTTAATCACTATTAGTCTCTGATAACTTTTTATTCAATGAGGGTGTTTATTAGCTACCACTAGGTGAGGCCATGATGGTGCAATCGGTTCAGATGAGGATCCCAGATCATCCGGTTCAGAGTGGTGTGGGTTTGATTCATACATAGGATTATACTAATTTATAGTTGATTAATAATTTTATAAGTGTCCATAATCTTATGATATTGCATTCTTGTTTATTTAGAATTGAGCAAATTTTTACATCTCTTTTCTATTTATTGTGGTTGCAATAATTATAAAAAATATATCATTACTAAGTACCGTCACTTTATACATTTTTTTCTATTCTGCTGAATAAAAAAGTTTAGTTTTGGTTTAAGAATATTTGGGTAAATACCAGTGTAGATTTAGGTCATGTAGATCAACTAATAACCATATTTACTCATTTAAGTAAGTGTTGGAATAGATATTTGAATATCAAATAGACTTACACCACCTTTTTCCAGATTTTAAACAGATATATGATAGTATAAATTAGGAAGAATAATGAAGATAGTGATAAAATGGGAAATCCCCAAAAATGCTTGTCAAATGGAAGAATCACCCTCAATGATAGTAAATCAATACTAAAGATGAATGGCCTGTTGTCAGAGGGTTTTGAGGCCAAAGATGGGTTTAGGGAAGGCGATTCATTATTTTCTACTCTGTTTTTAGCCTAATTATATGCAATAAAAGAAATCATGACATATCCTGGTGGCACTATTTATGAATGAATGACACAGGACAGTGGCAGATTTACACGCAGGCATTTGCCTGGGATAGCAACTTTTGAGAAGCGGCAAAATTCGAATGAAAATGTATTTTTAAACTCAAATGAATCAGTAAGTATGAAAAACATCTCTATTAAACACAGTTAAAACGGTGGTATAAGAACAAGGGCTGAAAATCAATGAATAGAAGACTATTTACACGTTATCTTCAAGAAAACCATGTGGAACAAATGAATGTGTCAAAATAGAAAACTCTGCACAGAAAAGTGTCAAATTTGGAAGTGAGGGGCCAGTCTTCTTCAAAGTAACTGACGCCTTATTCTGAATTTCACTATTATATTAAAATTAAAATTCTGAATCATTTTTTTAAGTCCTATAATATAAAAGATAATTTAATTAAGGTACAACCATTACATAGAAAAGAATAAAATAAATAGCTAATCAAATTATCAAATGATTAGTATACTTAAAAACCAAACATTTTAAAAAATATGCTATTTGGTTTAATCCGTTATGTATACTTTTTCTGCCTAATCACTCTAGTAACACCACATATATTATGGATAGGTCTACAATTCCTATGCACTAAATTGTGTACCCTATCCACCACAATCGAAAAATGTGTTTTTCTATATAAGGTACTGTAGCACCAAAATTTATCCAAAGATTTTGAAATAACTTCTCCAAAGTCTTTTTCTTCCCTGATGTAATTCTTTATTTACGTACTAATTTATATTCTATTCTAACACAAAATAGTGATTAATTAAAATAATTACAATTTTTGTTTACTATATTGAGATAAAAATTTGATTCAGTTAATAATAATAATATTAGTTGTCATATGATTTTACTTTAAATTTTAATTTTGATTTGTCTTTTTATGGCTTTGATTATAATATTGTTCCCTAGACATATTTAAAATTTGAAAAACTGCTTGGGCATAAATTATTTCATAATATTTGTTATTGTCCTATTTACAAGAAGTTTCAAATTTTCCTAAAACTGTTTGGGCATAAATTATTTCATAATATTTGTTATTGTCCTATTTACAAGAAGTTCCAAATTTTCTCCACAGGGCCCCGACCTGAAAGGGCACCTGTTGGGGTTGCCAGCCAATCTTCAAGTGCACTCGCCACTTATTAGAAATAAAAAAATAAATAAAACGTATTAAAATAATTAAATTTAGTCAATCAATAAAGCAACTGTATTACAGAACTGTCAAATGAAACAAAATTCAAATATCACATAAACAGCTTAAGAAATAAATTCAATTTCATTGCCTGTAGGCGCCGAATGTCTAAGGCTAGCACTTGATATTATGATAAAAAGACCCCATGATGTTTCCACTTTTTTCTTTTCTTTTTATACTTTTCAACAGAAAACAATTAATTTAAAAACATTATTTATTGTAACATTGGTATTTACTATTGGGCATTTTCAAATTCAACAAAAATCTCACAAATCAATTTTTGTATCCCTTTTTGTTCAAACTTGAATAATTCTTTTATCTTCATAAGAATGTTAAATTGATTAATATAATTTGCCATTTTTTCATTAATCAAGCATATATTTTAATACCATATTTTTTAAAAAATTATAATGCTAAAAATTAATTTATAGATAGCTTTGAAACAATCATGTTTATTCAAACATATTTAAATGAATATTTCTTTCTATTGTGTGTTATAAAAAATGTAAATATTTTCACTTTAATTATTGTGTGGTATGTTACAGTATATTGCCTTTTATATTATTTTTGTGTTGTAACTTTTTTTTTATTTTTATTTTTTTTTTTTTAGTTTCAGCATTTTATGCAGAACATTATAATAAAAAAATTAGTATAACTGCTCATGTATGGACAAAATCGAAATTTCTTGGTCTTTCAATAGGTGTTCATAACATAGGCAAAGGTGTGATTGATGTTCTCAATTATGATGAACAATATGTTGTCACCTTCCCAAATGGTTATGGAAGGTATTGCATATTCTGTTTTCTTTAGCTTTTGTAGTTTTAGCTTGAGATAGTAACATAAAAAAAAAAAAAGTTTTAAGGTTCTAATATGTAGATTGCTTTGTTTTTATTTGAAAGCAAGGTAACCAGTTATTCCTTCAACAGATGGTTCATCTAATAGCTAAATGATAGACTGGATGCTCCTCATTTATCTGAATTTCTATTTAGAGTCAGTTAAAATTTAATATAAATTTTAATAATTCTATAATTGATTTAGATATTTACTTTTTTTTTAAACCTCTTGATTTTCAATTGTCATCATAAACCCATTTAAATTCATTTTTAGAAGCACTATGCTGGATTAGGATTGGTATGTTATTTTGACTTCATCCTAATGATTTGAAAAAAATAAAATAATTACAAAAAGTGTTCTTATCATTTGAAACAAAGTCTTACAATTGATAATTACATGAATCATCTTTTGGAGAGTTGTAGTTAATATATAACTGATTTTCATAAAGAACTGTAACAGAGTGATTAAAATAAAACAGTATACTTTTAGGGATGCATATGTTTATGTTTCAGTATTCTACAAATTAATTTATTGATTATTCTTCAAGTACTTTAATTAGTAAAGTTAGTTTTAATTAGGAAAGTATTGCAGTACAAGTGAATATGAGATTTATCCTGGTCTTACTTTAGAAACTCAGAAATTGTATGAGGTATAGTTACTGAATAAGTTAGGTTAATTGGGTAGATGCATATACATATATGGCTGAGCAGACTACGGCACTTGGTGCTGAAGGAAACGATTATCGGGAAACAGGTAGCTTGCATCGTGGCTCATAGCAACCTAAGATTGGGTGGTTTTATCAGGCTAACTGTGGTTCAGAGATTAATAAATATCTCCAAGAACACCATAAAGCGCATCCAGAGATCTCCATGATCTAAGCTAACGAAAAACAGTGAACAAATATTTGTAAGAAAAATTAATTAAGCTCTTAAGTTCCCACCTTTCTTTAACTAATAAGTTGTAAAATGAAAATAAATTGTGAAAGCTTCGTACACTCTATTAATACCTTCAAAATTGATAGGATTATACTTAAATTATCTCTGTTGACAAATTACAAGAAAATTTTTTATATTTATACTAAAAATTATCAGGAAAAGATAGTTTTAAAAGCAAGCTGACCAAAACACAATTATATTTGGGTAGAAGCAGCATTGGATTAAAATGTTGAAATAGGAATTGAGCTAGACTCTTATATTATTTTATCACCTATAGCTAGTTTTTTTTATGGTATGCTCGTAAAAACAAACATACATTAATGAAATTATGTTAGATTTTTCTCTTAATTATCTGTGATGCATTCACATAGTAGATTTTAAAAAAATTAGAGTATATGATATATTGCAATTTTTTTTTTTTTTTGTAACTATGGTTGATGTATTTTTGGACATCACTTAGTAATTAATATCTATGAAACTTTAGGTAAGGTCTCATTTATCTATTTTCCTCCCAATGTTTACAGTAATGAAATAGTAAAATAGTAAACACAAGACAAATAGTAAAAATCACAAACAAATTTTCTTCATCTGGAGTTTGGAGGGTTAATTTTCACAGATAATTTATGTTCCCACTTATGTTCATTTTATAAATATTACATGCGTTAGGCATTTGGTTCCTCTTCCCTGGCTCTAATGGCAAAGTTATTGTGCATGTTCCCTGTGTATTTATTTAGTTGTGAAAATTCACACTTCATTGGTCGGCACAGGTCATGGTGAGATCTTTTAGAAGTTTATAACAAGTGCTGTTTAATTATTTTTCTTCAAACTGATAATAATTCACTATTATTTCTTTTTATTAATGTTTATTCTTTTTACAATTGTTTTAGTATCCATAGAAACGATTTGTCAAAAATGTGCATCATTTTGTTTTATTATTTGACCATAATTGTTATTATAATGGACCATAAGATCATTTTTCATGTTATGTTTGATTGATTTATTGCACTAGCGGATCCAAGATTTAATTTTGGGGAGGGGGCTTCAGCCCGATAGTTTTTTTTCCATAAAAATAATGATAATTACTTTGGAAAAAAAGAAAGAAGCTAACTACCTGTATGAAATGGTGTTTAAGTGATTCCTAAAGCCCTTTAAAATGTAATTACACGAACAATAATACTTTAAGAGATACTTTTTAAATATTTTTTTCGATAAAACATGGTTATATTTTACCATTTGGGGGGAGGGGGGGAGAGGCTTCAGCCCGAAAGCCCCCTCCCCCCCGTAGATCCACCCGTGATTTATTGTACTGAAAACATAAGATTGTGTCCTAATTGGCAAACCATTACATGAGCAGGCAACAGAAACGGACACTGAATTGGATTATGAAAACATCAAACATAGCCCAATACAAATGATTCCTTGGCTCAGAGGAATGTTTTTTACATAATACAGTCAATTTTTACAAACATAAGTTTAAATTATTATAATTGAATTTCTTTCATCTAACTTTTTATTTCAAATGTTAGATGAAAATAAAAAAGTTGTACACTGTTTAGTTCAAATTATTCAAAAAGGTTTGAAAACAATTGTTTTCAGAGACAATACTTTCTTAATTCCAACATCTACTTGGCTATGGAAGAGACCATAGAATTATCTTCTATGACTAATGCTGTACTTGTTGTGAAACATTTTTTTAAAGAATCGTTTGAATATTTTTTCTGGTGTTAAAAAAGTAATTTGAATATAAAATGTCCTGTGTATAAAAAAATTTAACCAATGGTGGCTACTGGGGGTGATATGTGAATTAGGGTTAGGTTCTGAATGAATTAATCATTCAATGAAATGTTTAAGCCTTGTCATAAATTAATTTTAAAAATCTCATATATGGTTTCTAAAGGAACTCCCAGGTAGGTGGGAAAAATATTGCATTCATTCAGTGTTATTTTGCAATGAGAAATCACATTTCAAATTAATTGATTTGAAGCTTTGTTGCTTTATATAGATCCCTTTTTTACCCTATTCTTATATAGTTCAGAAACCTGGTTTACCTGAAGGCACTAGCGGATCTAGGATTTAATTTTGGGGGGGGGGGCTTCAGCCCGAAAGATTTTTTTTTCATATAAATATAACGATAATTAATTTTTTTAAAAAAGAAAGAAATTAACTGCCAATATGAAATGGTGTTTAAGTGGTTTTTGAAGTCTTATTAAATGTAATTAAACGAACAAGAATACTTTAAGAGGTAGTTTTTAATATTTTTTCTGTATATTTTACCATTTTGGGGGGGGGGGGCTTCAGCCCAAAAGCCCCCGCCCCCCGTAGATCCGCCTGTGCCTGAAGGGAACAAGATAGTAACTTCAGATTTGTGAAACAAAAGTTCTCTGTTAGAAATTTTTTTAACATTAAAGGGCAATGATAGTGAAAAACTAATTATTAAATTGATGACTATGGTATAGAAATCACAATATTGAACAAATAAATAAACTTCACTGGGCAGGTCATGTCTCCAGAAAGCATACACATTGTATTTCTTACGATGTTAGTTACTAAATGCTTCAATAGGTGGTGAGTGGACAGAACAAAGTTATGATGGCTGAGTCATGTCAAAAATTATGCTAGAATAGTTAATGAAAGGAAAACTTATATGTACAAAGAAAAGGATGTACATGAAAAAGGAAGTTGAAGAAATTGAAGAATTGCATACCAATTACGAAATGAGGAAATTTTATGCAGCTATAAGACACATAAGCCGCGGCTTTCAACCAAAAGTGGACACCTGAAAAGGCAAGAATGGCAGTATAATTGAAGAGAAAAAGCCTAATCATAGACAGATGGGATGAGCATTTTGGTGAGTTATTGGATAAGAGTAAAAATGAAGGAAGCAATGCTGGAGTATTGATCCCGAACGCCACTGAAATTGAGCTACCTGATATAGAAGACTTAACCGAAGCAATATAAAAGCTGAAAAATAATAAAGCATCGGGTGAAGATTTACTAATAGTCGAATTATGTAAAGGTAGTAGCGAGAATATGTTCACATGTCTATATAATTTGGTTTTGGACATATAAATGAATGAAAGCATGCCTCAAGAGTGGGGGACTAGTTTGATTTGTCCCATCTTTAAAAAAGGAGATAAACTGCAATGCAGAAATTACAGAGGAACATCCCTCTGAAGAAATTAAATGTCTATGCTGAGCGCATTCTAGGAGAATATCAGTGTGGGTTCCGTAAAGGAAAAGGAACAGTCGACCAAATTTTTGTAATGAGACAAATATTAGAAAAGTGTTGGGAGTATAAAACTACAATTCATGTTCTTTTCATTGATTATCGCCAAGCCTTCGACTTTCGACCAAGCATTAATAGGAGCAGCTTGATTAAAGCACTAATACAATACAACATTCCAAAAAAGATGATAAGATTGATTCAGATGACTCTAAGCAATAGCAATGCCAAAGTTATTGCCAATGATATTGTAAGTAATACATTTACAATATCAACCGGTATAAGGAAAAGAGATGCTCTGTCCGCCACTCTCTTCAACCTAGCGTTACATAAGGTAGTTAATAGAATAAATACGCAAGGAAATATATTTCATTCAAGCATTCAAACCTGTGCATATGCAGATGACATAGCTCATGTTGCCAGAAATGTTCAAACTCTTACTGATACTTTTAATATTATTTATGCTGAAAGTAAAATTATGGGTCTTGAAATAAATGATTTAAAAACGAAGTATATGTCCATTGCTTCATAAAATTCAAGAAATTCCCATAACCTTGTGATGGAAGGACACATTTTCGAAAACGTCAATATCTTTACCTATCTAGAGGCAGAAATAAATAATGAAAACAGAATTATGACTGAGGTGCACGGAAGGATAATGGCCACTAACCGTGCGTATTTCGTGAATTTAAAGCTTTTTAAATCATCCTTGATATCAAGGAAAACCAAAATAAGGCTATACACTACCTTAATAAGACCCATACTTACTTACGCGGCTGAAACATGAATGATTACTGCCACCATGACAAATTCATTAAGGGTCTTCGAGTAAAAGATCCTGAGAAAAATATTTGGCCCCTTGTACTATGAAACAACTCAAGAATGGAGGATTAGAACCAATATGATTTATTCAATCATAGTGAAATTTTGAACTTTATAAAATCACGGCGGATCGAATGGTTGTGGCACGTTCTTAGAATGCCAGAAGAGAGGATCTCAAAAAAGATGCTCTAAGGAAGAATTTATGGGAAGGGGAAGTCAGACAAGGTTAAGGCCGAAAAGAAGGTGTTTGGAGGATGTGCAGGATGACCTCAGGCGGTTAAGAGTTACAAACTGGAGGGAAAAGGCTAAGAACACGGACATCTGGGGAACTGTTGTACAGGAAGACAAGGCCAACCTCAGGCTGTATAGCTATCGAAGAAGAAGTTAGTGAATGGAATTGGATGGCAACATCTAAGAACAGAAGAACTTGGAGATTTATGTTTATTTTTATACTTATGAAAATGTCCCAAAGATGTGAAGTATTTCTGAGAACTTTAGGTAGAATTAAATAAAAGAAGGGCTGAAGACAAAATACAGTTAAAGTAGAGTAAAAAAAAGTTGGTCAAATTATTTCGAGGTAAATACATTGAGAACTCAGAAGGCCTCGATCGAGCGTGCTCTATGATGATAACTATTCAGAGGATGAGGAAAAGGCTAAAAAAAGAAGGCCGAAAGTGTCAGGCAGATGGGCACCCAAATCACTTTCAGCCAGCAAGCAAAGGGATGAACCTTAAGACGTCACAGGACGGTGACCACAAACGGAGACAGTATTCAGATTTTGTGGGAGGAGGAAATACCAACTAAAGGATGAGTCTCTAGACTTAATATATAAGACTAAAAGCAGATGGCTGAGCATTCAGACCTTGTATGGAATAGAGAAAAGGAGAAAGGGTTAAAGGTACATGAGATAAATAAATAGTTTGGTTGATACAAAATAAGTATATAAAATTTACTTATCAACTGACTGTGAGGAGTAAGGTTCAGGCTCCCCGAAGGGAAGAGAAATAAATCTCTCAATTTTTGATTATGTCAGTTTTTAAATGCTTTGAATATATCACCTATAATAAAATTGGTTAGCAAGAGTCATTTCTGTTACTGTTATTTTTAATGTGTATACATATTTACTAGTTTGTACTGCAGTTTTTTACATTAAAATAATATAAACTAAAATTAGCACTTGTAGGAACAATGGGTGAGCGTGCATGTGGCGGTGCCATTCCTGCCAACAGATTCCTGGAATTGATAAATGTGGGAACAGACCTATGGGTGAATGACCACTACCCACACAATTGTTAGCAGAGGGTAGCTGCCACTGTACAACTTACTTATTTAATGTTATATGATAAATCACCATGCCCATCATTAGCCTCCTAACCCCCCTCCCCCCACCTCCTGAATTAAATAGTAGAACATGTATTTTCTCAATGCTCACCCTGAACCTTATAGTAGAAAAATGTGGTTAGGATCCTGGTTTTCAGAAAACCTAGCCAATCCAGATATGTGAGATATATATGTAGAAGTGGATTACGCTGCTCTTATTGGCAGGAAAAGTACATTTGTACTATATTATGTTTTATTTAGTCATTAAAATTTATATAATAATCTTAAGGATTGTTATAAATAAAATTTAGTAATTGGATAATATTTTTTTCTTTTTTGTGATTGGTTTCATATACAATTCTGTCAGGAAAACTTTAAAATATGAACAAAATTCAAGTAAAAGTCGTTTTACTTATTGAATGGCATGCAGTTTAGCAAAATAAATATATAGATTTGAGGAGAAGTTGGTCGGGGGTGCGGTCAATAGACACATACTATATATTGTAGCAGCATTTATTCCATTTTCCAATGTTTCAGCATATGTTGAAGCTCTTCATCAAAGTTAAAAAAAACAAGATACTATATAAAAAAAAGAAGTTAATTGGTACAAGGAGCAAATAAATAAAATATCAGATAATGTTAAATTAGAACAAGATACCAGATATCAGTTTCAGATCTATTGCAGGGAATGAAAAATAACAAGTTGCAAGTGAAATGAGCATTAATTGAATAAAATATAAGATAACATAGATGGAAAAGCAAACTATAAAAATGGGACATCTGTGAATTAAAGTGAATTTTAAAATTGATAGTTTAAACTTTAGTAGTTTAAACTACAATATATTATATATACTGATGGGCTATACTATATTATACATAATTGTGCAATGTATTTATTCTATTGTAATTATAATAAATAATGGAATGAGAAGACAAAGTTAATACATATAGTAACTGATAGTTAGAAAAAAATATACAAAAATAATGAATTATCACCAATGTGATAAATAATAAAAAAAAACATGCAATAAAATCTTAATTTAGGATGTAAATTAAAATATAAAATAAGATGTAATAGCATAGAAAGGTACAAAATATAAATGACAATTGACATTCAGTTTTTTAACATTAATAACAGGATATTAGATATAGGTGTTAGAGGATAGGTACATTAAGAGCAATAATAAAAGAGAAACATAAAATTTCAGGCTGTAGGAGTTTGTAGAACAGATAAGAAGGGACTAAGGTAGCTGTAAAAGCATTTGTTGGTCATTGTTGGTAAATTGCAGGTCATGAAATGTATAAAGAGTTGTCAATAATTGTAAGGGAGCATATGCATATATATGTATTTATATAAATGAGAACAGAATGTGCTAAACAGATATTAATAATTATTGTTTTTTGATCAAAATTTGGGAGTAGACAAGGAACTAGTTTTGTTTGCTTATCGGTACTTAGATTAACAGTTTACATTTTATTTGGATGAAACTCTCTCTCTGCCAGTAGTATTTGTAGTCATGGTTGGGTACTGTGACAGTTATGAAGATATCCTATTAGTCAAATGCGCGGTTTGAGGATAAAGCATGTTCAGAGATATCTGGTATTTTGTACTATTTTAACATTATCTGATATTGTATTTATTTTACCTTGTTCCAATAAACTATTTTTGTTGTAACTTGTTCTTTTTAACCCTGATGAAGATCTAAAACTTTGGTCGAAATATTAGCAAATAGTATGTGTTTATTGACCGCACATATGTTGCTGCTATTTTGGACTCCGAAAGCACTTCTCCAGCAATTTTATTACCAGATGAACAAAAAATTACTATATATAGGATTCTCATTTGTCCTGTACTATGTTATGGCTTGGAGACATGAACCATAACCAGAGCTTAAGACCAACTCCCCCCCATAGGCACTACTAGGGTAGGGGCTCACGGGGCTTGAGTCCACCCAATGTTGCAGTTGTTGGGGCTCAGCCCCCTCAACAAATTGCTATAATGTGAATTTCATGAACGTATTTGTCTCCTAAATTACAATTCCATTACAAATGACTCTATCTATCTACTAGCAGGTATAACAGAATTTGATTAGCAATGTCCTATATTGGTCAGTGACACATTCATGACATGCCTCGTCCCCCTACAGCCCAGCTTCCCCCCTTATTTCACCAGCCTCCCCAATAATTTTCATTAGTCAGTGTCTTTGACTTCTCACATTAGAATAGAAAGTATTAGATGAATTTATCACAGTGTAAATGAGAATAATGCATGAAGGCAGAGAAACAATCAAGAGCTGTATGATTTATTTCATGAGCCAGATATATCATGTTTTATCAAGCTTGGAAGATTGAAATGAACAGGACATCAAGCCAGAACGCCTGACGGTCTACCTCTTAAGAAAATTTTGATAGAGCCCTTTTTTAGTCGTTGCAGAGGTGGTAGGCCAACAAGGCTATGGTGGGTAGATTGTGAAGCCCATTATGCAAGAAAATGTCTAAAGGTGCGAAACTGTATGGCAGCAGCACAGAATAGAAATGCATGGTGGTTGGTGTTGCAGGAAGCCAGTTCCCTTTATGGGTTATAGAGCTATCAAAGAAGAAGATTACATAACTTCTTATTAAAGGGAGTTACACATATCGGTTTAAGCTTTTAATAATTATAAGGTTTAGCTTTTAAGATTAGCAAAAACTTAATCAAGAATTTTAATTAATAATTTTATTTTAGGTCTATTTTAACTGTTCCATGGATTGAATTAGGTGGAACTGTAATGATTACTTGTGATAAAACTGGATACCGTGCTGTAATTGAGTTTTTAACAAAACCATTCTATGGTGGTAAAAAACATAAGATAAGTGGACAAGTATTTTCGCCAAATGATAAGAAACCTTTTTTAACAATTACTGGTGAATGGAATGGTACAATGGAAGCCAGGTGGCAAGACGGTGTATGTATATTTTAAATATTTAGAATAATTTTATATATTTACATTATTAATAATGACCCATAAATAAATTATGACCAACAAATAAAATAATGAATAACCCATAAGAAAATTTGTAATCATATTGATATCATTATTTAATAAAGTATGTAAATAGTTTTTATACTTTTTGTTAAGACCACTAGAGCTTGAAAACTTGAACTTTAAAATCTTTAGCAATGAACTTTTCTGGGTATTTATGATTATCAATATTGGCTATAGCCCATACCATTCATCTAATAAAATCCAAAATTTTTCATTTAACATTAAAATATTATATACTTATGAAATACAAATGTCATTTTAGAAATGTGTTACTGTACAAACCATTAAGAAAAAATGTTCATTGTTAGTCCAAAATCATTATTGAACTGCTTTTTAAAAAATATCCAAACTATGGTTCTCTGTCTTATGTTTTTTTTTTTTAAATTTCAGAGAAAAGAACAATTTGCTAATGTCAATAGCTTGGCCATCATAAATAAGAAGGTCCGTCCTCTAGAATTACAAAATGACAATGAATCTCGAAAACTTTGGAAAGAAGTTACTGCAGGATTGAGGTATTTATTACTTTCTATCAAATACTATTTTCATTTATTTCACATTCATTGTATTTTCCTATTTTAGTGGATGTAAAAAAGTAATCTATATAAAAATTAATTTAATGAAAATATTTAGGAGAGGGGTTTTTAAGTCTTTTCAACATTGGGAGATATTCAAGGGAACAAATCCAAGGAGACAACAACATTTATGACAAAAATGAAAAATTATATTGGACTGTACAGAAATGAATGGCTGAATTGGCCAATATAACCATGATAAATAATAGAATAAAAAAATAATAGGATTTTAAGTTTCTGAAATAAAGGAAATATACATCCAAATATTTGATAGGAAAGTTCTCAGGCACATGGCCCTGTTTTTTTCAGCAGGAGTTTGGAGACAAAGAACCAACCAGGAAATATACAACTTGTGAAGAGAGCTTGATGTAATTATCTTCATGAAATTTGGAAGATTTGAAATGTGCTGCTGATGTAGCAAGAGTGAATGATGACTTGATCCCTAACAAACTACTACTGAATCCATACATGGGAGGCAGCAGGAAGGCCAAGACTATGATGGCAGGACAGAGTGGTGTGTCATTCTGTCTGGTTTCAACATCACTAAAACTTCAATTAGTCTGTAAACTTTGAGAACCAATGGATTCTTCAGTGTCTTGATGTTGTACCTCTTGGGGGCTTCTCTATTGGATCATCTAAAGGGATCCATACACTTTCTGATGGGTCTTATGACCGATTCGTGAGGAGGGTTGGCTCTTCTTGATCAATGAATGTTTTCATAGTATATATATTCTACATAATACCCAAGTATATATATATATATATATATATATATATATATATATATATATATATTTTTTTTAATATTTACTTTTGTAAGGAAGTAAATGTGGTTTAGTTTTTTGAGTTTAGATTCAGATCGTAAAGTTGCCATATATCATGTCACTAAAGTATATCAAACATAAAAGATAAAAAGTTACTTTCATATATCATAAGTCACTGAAGTATATCGTACGAAAATGATTTAAAGACACTTTCATATATTTTACTGGTGTGATGGTATGAAGAGTTGCACAGCAAACCTCACGCTCATCCACTAACAGGTGCAACCTACCCACACACCATCAGATTTGTATGAAGACAAAATAGACAGCATACTGGTATGACTCGCCCAAAAGGGTATGTTCTCCTAAAATGTTCTGTAAATGCAGACAAGAGCATTATTTAGAAAATGGTCAGAATTTATGCCCATGTTGGATGCATGCCAGCTGTACATAAAAATGTGATCAATATGATTGACTTGATCTGTCATAAGTAGTCCAAGTGTACCATTGTGGAACCTTTTTTTATGAAATAGAGTGATTCCAATAATAAGTAAAAAAAAAAAAAACCCCAGTAAGGTTAATAAGCCACAGTCCAGTATTATTACTTCTACTAAGCTGATTGTTCATCGACTGTTGGGCAAAGATTTTTTAGTGACATTCACACTAAAGTCTTGCACTATCCACTTGGAATATGTATCAATCGTTCTTTACATCAGACCATAAAATGCATCCTTCTCGTTTTCTTCTTTAGTAACTGAGGACAGAATAATTGTTGTTAGCTACCCATGTTGTAATCAGAGAGATTTGCCTTCTTACATCATATTTCCAGATTTTCTTTTAATCTCTTTAAGTTTGTATTTTTTTAGAAGTCTTCTAGAATTTTCAATGATTCATAGTGATATGTAAACTTTCTTATTTTTTATATATCTATTAACTATGCAGTGGACTGGTTGTGTATTGATTAAAAAGGCACTGGCAAACCATGCAGTAACCTCCAGGTCGGATGATAAAAAGTTATTGATTTTTGTATTGTAAATCTATTATTGATAATATATATATATTATGAAGAGTTGTTAGTGTATTCTATTCTACTAAAAAAAGAACAGCCATGGTTTGATGAAGAGTACAAATAAAACACAATCAAAAACTAAACAAGCATATAAAAGTATGATTCAAAGGAGACAAACTCGAACCTCAGTGGATGCTTACCTACAAAAAAGGATAAAAAAGAAAAGAGTATATAACATTGTAGAAAAAGAAAATGGGAAAATAAAGAATTGGTAGATGTAGAATACTTAAGAAATGCAAACGAATACTAAAAAGTCTACCTTAGGTGTATAGTGGCTGGAAGCTATTCAAATCTTGATTTCCTTAGGCAGAGATGTCGATGGATCATTATTCGATGACAAGAACTAAATACTTAAAAGATGGAACAGTCACTTTGACCACAATCCCAATGAAAGTTACTTACAGGAGGTCCAGCCGGAAGTAACAGGCCTAACATGAACACCAGAGAATGAGTTAGAGCTCTCTGATGAAGAAGAAGTCTAAAGAAGCAATAGATAAACTTAGTAAAAACAAAGCCTCAGGCTTTGACATTCTGCCTTCTGAACCCTTAAAAGGAGTGGAGAGAAATTTCTGCAGATGTTACATAACCTCCTGATAATGTATTGTGATTGATGGACTGATAATGATATGGATTGAGGAAGTAATATCCAAAGCTTGGAATAAAACTATTCCTTTCTATACACAAGAAAAGAAAGCTTGCTTGATTGTAAAAACTACCAAGCCATTTCACTGTTGCCATGGTCCTATAAAATCTCCAATATACTTTACATGTTCTTCCTGCTTCATGTTAAAACGATCCTGTGGAAATATCAGTGTGGTTTTGTCATGGGAAATCCACAATTAATCAAATATTCTTATACACTATTATGATTGGAATGTGGTCAAGAGTACCAGGTACTCACACTCAACTTATTTATGGATTTCAAGCCAGTCTGCAATAGTACTCAGCGTGAACCTCTATACCAGTACCATGACAAATTTTAATATATCTGTAAAACTTATATAGGTAAAAGTGACTGGAAATTATTGAAAATTTAGAATGTATCTAAGGAGATTTCCGTCATGGATTTACAACTGTTAGACAAGGTGAAGTTAGACAATGATACTCCCTTGTATGTCTAACTAATGCCTGAAAAAAAACAGTAATAGAATCTGGGATACTGTCAATCAAACAAACCCAAATTTTTGGTTTTGTAGAAGATTTAGATATCATTGAAAGATTGAGAACTGCTGTAGAAGAGGTCTTTCATGCCCTTGAGTCATCTGCCAAAAAAATTGGCATTGTTGTGAATCCTAATAAAGCCAAATACATGATTGCTAAAGAAGTGAAACCTTCTGATGAAGTCATCATTTAATTTCAACAATAGGCATTTGAATGTGTTAGTAAATTTGTGTACCTAGGCTCTCTAATAAATGAAAATCATATCTTGGCTGAAATAGGATGGAGAATAGCCTCTGCTAATAGATGCTATTTTAGGCTTCATTGACAGCTGGAGAATAGTTTGCTTTCAAGACCTACAAAAATAAGAATATATAAGTCACTAATCAGGTCTGTGCATACTTATGGATCTAAAACATGGGCTTTTTCTACAAGTGGTGAGACCTGTAAATTTGAAAGAAAGATCCTTCAATCCACCTCCAATGGTCCACTAAAATATAATACCACACGGAGAAATCATAGAAACAATGAACTTTACTCCTTATTAGAGCAACTTGATGTTGCTAAAGTGATAAAGCTTAGGAAGTTTTGAGATATGAGTGGGTCACGTGGTCAGGATGGATATCCATGGCATTCCAAGGAAACTCCCTGGTGAGGAACTGTATGGAACACAATCAAGAAGCCAATCCAAATTGGGGTGGGCTGATTGTGTTAAAGATTTGAGTAATCTGCAGGAAATTGCTTGTAATTGGATGAACTGGGAAAACATACTTGAAGCCAGGACCCAATGATGGTTTGTAGTGCCAATTAATGATGAAATCATAAATTGTAAAAAATGTTTTTAAATATTTAATATAATTTAATTTATCTACGTAGTTAACTAGTAATAGTTAACTGCAAAATAGTAAATTACATATTTTTACAACTTATCTTTAATCAACCTTTGAGTATTAAATTTAAACATAATGATTTAATTGGGAATAAGGTTTCTTATAAATTATTCAATAAACTACTAAATGTTCATTGCTTCTGTGTTTATTCGGGATCCTTTTCAAAGTTTTAAAATAGAGTCGGTGTGTCCCTGGCCTGAGGTGTCGAGGTTCTATTTTAAAACTTAAATAGGATCCCATTGTTAACTCATAAAAAAACCGGCATCGAAACGTCGAATAAACACAGAAGCAATGAACATTTAGTAATTTATTGAATAATTAATAAGTGACCTTATTCCCATTTAAATAATTATGTTTAAATTACATATATGTAAAGTAAATTATGCATAGTAAAATTAGCTAATTACTTTTTTTTTAAATTTTTATTATGATATTTACAACTGTATTAGCATAAATACATCAAGTAAATTTGTATAGAGTAATATAATCACATGAAAACACTTGTTGAGAAACTACCCATTGGTAGTACTCTAAGCTAATTACTTAGGTAAATAAAATTTATTCATGTATTGAAAAACTATTATTTACAATAAGTAATAAGATAATGTAATAACTGCAGAGAAAATATGTAGGATGATGGGATCAGGATTCTGATCCTGAAATATCCCCAAAAAATGTCTATTTAACTATTTAGTTAATAAATATATACAAAAATAAGAAAGTTTATGTATCAATATAAATTATTAAAAATTTCCTTTAATGCTGAATCCTCTGCAATATTTGTGGATGTTTTCAACTTTAGTAAACGTAGGTGTTCCTTTTTCAAAATCTTTAGACCTGTCAATTAAAGTTCATTTAAATGAAGACTAGATTTTTGGAGGTTTTTAAGTTATTTTTTCTAAACAAAATATTAAGCTTTATCTTTTTAAATTTTTATTTTAGGTTGAATAATGTTGAACAAGCAACAAATGCAAAAACTAGTCTTGAACAAAAACAGAGACTTGAAGCACAGGAGCGGAAAGAAATGGGAATAGAATGGGAAACTAAGGTAAATTGCTTTTACATATTGTTTATTCAGAGAATTTTCTGAAAATAAATGAAAATATATTTATTTTATTTTAAAAAGATAAATTTAAAAGTAACAACACATAGACAATAGAAAATTCTGTCTGTTGAGGTATGTATGTAATTCATAATAAATATTGATTTCATTCTTAAGTAGAATAAATGATTAATAATATTTCTACAATATTATTATATATTTTTACTTCCATTTTAGCATTTTCCTTACTGTTTAATTTGTTTAAAGTTTTCAAAAACAAACATTAATAACTTATAAATCTTACGAGTAAGTAATTTAATTTTAAACATAATAAGAAAATACAATACAACTATGGAAAATTAATATTATAATAAATAAATATGATATTTCACTAATTGCTCACTATTTGACTAATAAATAGTCTTTGCAATTGACTAATTGAAATCTTTGCAATGAGGCCTGCTGCTGAAATTTTCCATACAGATCATTGACGTCTGCAGTATTGAGATTAATTTTATAATTCTAACCACTTTTGGTACCAATGAACTTTCTTTGTCATCACCTCTTTGGCTGTAATATGAGCAAAATGGAAATAAAACATCTCCAGGACTTACAAAATATAGTCAAAACGAGTTATAAATTAAAATTTTTTTTTTTAATTTTCTGAAAATATGAAATGTATATATTTTTTATTGTAATATTTTTATTTCTAAGAAATTTAAAATATTACCCTTTCCTGTCTTTTTTTTCTTTTAGGCCATTAAAAACTTTCTCTCTATCTTCATGACTCTTCATTTGTTTTTAATATATTAAGATATTTGTCAATTCTATAAGTTAGATTGACTTGCTAAATTTAATTTTCTAGAATATTCTTCATCTATTTTTTCTTTTCCATTTTGAATTAATGAATCCTTTGTATTAATTCATTCTCCTATTGCTTGGCTGATTTCTTAGATAATCCATCTTGTGATTCTCGTAACTTTTTTAAGAAATCACCTGTTTAGACATTCAGAATGTCTGGATACAAAAATTTATATTTTTATTGACTCTTCTGAACAAGTCTGTATTTCTTTTCTGGTTTTAGGAACTCGGTCTTTGGTAAGACTTTTAATTACTATTTATATTGTTAATCAACTTTAATTACAGGTTGCAACTACTAAATGAAGATCTGATGCCTATTTTTGATAGACCTCTAATTTAGATATAATTTTAGATAAATAAAAACTACTTATAGATTATTATAGTTTTATTGGCAATTATTTATTAAAGATGAAAAATAGTCCAACTCTGACAAAAGACAAGCAATATAATAAAAATACATCTCAATAGCAGTATTTAAGCAGGCTTCTCATAAGCCAGTTTGGTGTATTGTGACTTTCCTGGACGTATTAGATTGTTTACTCATTTTAACTTTATGAGATTTTAAATAAAACTGATTTTCAGGGTAGCTAACCCTAGAATCCAATCAGATTAAAGCAAACAACAGCTGTAAGTAATTCTATTAGGTTGTTAAAATCCTATGGAGATAAACTGTTTCAAATGAGGAGCCAACTCAAATTCAGTGGCTTTCACTTTCTTAAATATTATTGCAAGTTCATAATATTACATTCATTCTATAATTTATCAACATGTTATATAGAATGAAAATATTGCATTATTTGTATTTTTTGTATTACATTATTTATGATACGAATTTCTTTTACATTTTTATACTTTTAAATTTTTATAATTTAATTTAATTTATTTACAGTTATTTCATCGTGATGGTAAGGATGGCTGGGTTTACTTACACCCTCTTTCTCAGAGACTGAACTCTAATAACTTAATTAAAAATAGTTGAATAATTAATCATTTAAATTAAATTTAGTGAAAAAAGCATGAGCATTAGAGATTTATATTTGTATTATATTGTTAAATAAATTATATATTGTTTATAAGTGGATTATTACTTGTTAATCAATATTTACATTGTTTGCCTGTGATATTGTTATTCAATATGTTACAGTCAGAATATTTTATAAATTTGTAAATTAATAGTACTAGTCAAAAACTGCTTTGGACTTACCTATCAATTCCTGTATCCTAAATTATAAATCTTAAACTAAATCTTATTATTCATTTAATAAACATGATTTGAGATGAATATCAAAACAACGAATATAATAAAAATCTATATCACTTCCCATTTTTCCAGTTGTATTTTGCATACAAGAAAATAAACAATGCTTATTTTTACCAATAGAATGCTGATATGTTTTATCCATTTTAGTCCTGGTGCATTAGTTCAATGTATGTACCAAATTTTGATATTTTATGTCTTAATACATCATATGTTTATAATTTTAGAATAACACTAATTAATTATTATGTAATTTTATAATTTAATTATTTAAAGATTAAGAATGAACCTCTTTTTCTATCTCCTGTCAGAAAATAAAAATATCTGAACAGAAAAAAAATTAATTATAATTATTTTTCTCATCTAGTTAGATATATTGAATTGAGGGTTGATGCCAAGTAGTGAACTAATTGTACCACATGAGGTCTGAGCATCCAAGTGTTAGGGTTAGTTAGGGCCTACATTGGGCTACCCTGTGCAGCTATAAGAATTCTTATAAATCAAATAGTACTGTTTGTAATTTTTTTTTAAGTTAAGACATTACAATATAATGGTAATCACATACAGTATCCTAGCTAGCACAGGATAAAAATTTTTAATTGTCAATGGAACAGAAATAGTATGGTTCATGTTGTATTTGTATTGAGTCTGATCGGATCATATGAATAAGCTGAAAAATAAAAAAGGAAATTATCAGAGTTATTAAAAAATTCATCACATATTAATTCATCAACTGCAATAAAAATTGGCCTTAAAAAATAAATTATTTATTTAGTATCTATTGCTATTTTCAAACAAGAAAAATACCTATTGTAATTGTAAAAAAGTATAAAGTTTCTTAGTAATAAACAAAATCAGAGTTAAATACCATTAATTGAAAATAGATTTATTGATCATTAACAAGATATTTTGCTTAGGTGACATTGAATTGGTAAAATTTCAGTGAAATGCCAATTTGAGGCGAGTTGCTCTTCGAACTGGAACTGACCATTTGATTGGAAATATGTGTCTTGTGGTAAATCTGGACTTGTCAGGGAACTTATATAAGAGACACATAATTGAGGTACTGGCATCAGTTTTAGGAAATTTCTTTTGCTCAAATTGGCCGTTGATGGTTCCATATGCCATTTCTGACACTTTTACAAAACCCAATGACAAAAAATGAAGTTGATGCTTCCTATAGTCACTTATTACAAGTATAAATTTGATTTTTTTAGATTTTGCGAGTTTGATCAATGCATCAATTAGCATAGTTTCAATTTCTGAAAAAAAAAAAGAAAATTATAAAACAATAAATTAATAAAAATCTGTATCATCAGAAGATTGATCAAAATCTGCATACAGTAGCTGATAATTGATAAATTATTAGTAAGTGTATTTGTAAATGAAATGGAATTGATTTTATGATATTAAGGAAAAATTCATTTTTAAAATAAATATTTGTAACTGATGAACCAATTGATCATTTAAGTGGTATACAATAACATTGTAATTGGTTTAACAACACTTATTCTTAAAATACTGTTTTAGTTTTTTTTTTTTATAAAATAAAGTAATAAAGTGAAGTAAATTAATCAAAGTATTTTTTTAACTTTTATTATATTTATTGTTGAATATTACAGTTTGTAAAATTCAAAGGCAATAGGTTAATGTTAAGTAAAAATTGAATGTGATATATTTTACAAGGTTTGAGAATAATCTTCCAGCCTAAGCTCCATACAAAAGGTTCTCCTTTAAGTTGTTTGTCTTTACATATCATATTTTATTTATAAGAAAAAAGTTATTTCAGTTTCTAATTTTTTATATAACCCAACATTACACCGATGTTTTCACTTCCACAATCCTACTACGACGTTTCTTCACTTAAAAAATTATTGATAATTTTAAATTAGAGAACTAATAAGAATAAAAATAAGACACACTAAAATCAAATTCTTAAATGTTTCGGCTTAAGGATAACTATACTCGCTATACCCAGTGAATGCAGGAAATTTTGGAGTTCTAGAGAAGTAAATGAAGTCCTCCTGTCAGTATGAATGCATGAGGAGGTTCCAAAAATTGAGAATAAATCAAGGAGGCAGTCTGTAACTGTTGAAGAATCCATGTCAGCAAGAAAGCAAATAAAGTGAAGTAAATTAATCAAAGTATTTTTTAAATTTTATTTATTAAATTTATTTATAAATTTATTTATTTATTATTTATTGTTGAATATTACTGTTTGTGAAATTCAAAGGCATCTGAAAGTGGATAAGCAAATGGAAACCGTGAAAACTCATCAATCATGGCCAGGAGGTACTTGTTACTAGTTTTTGAGGGAAGGGGTCCTTTAAAATCCATAGTGATTCAAAAGGATGAGTAACCTTGACGAGCTTAGAATTGGCCTTCTTCTAAAATATTAGCTTTAACGAATTGCATATAGATTCGGCTCTATAGGGTGGTTGGGTCTAATAATTTGGACCTAATCTAATAACTTTCCCATAATGCGCAGTAACAGGTCATTTTTCGGATCTCTTCAACTGAAAACAGTTGATTATGCGTTCTTACCAAGTGAATCATTCGAGTCACACCAAGATGACACAAATCATAGTGCAGAGAATATAGTTTGTTAGGTTGAATCGAGCAGCATATTCTTGAGAAGGCATCTGCAACAAGATTATCTTTTCCCGGTCGATATATTATATCATAATTGTAGCATGATAACTCAAGACGCCATCTCTGTATCTTCTGGTTTTAAATTTTATTCTGCCATTGTGTGGTAGATGTAGTCTCTGCATTGGAGCGCGGAATATACTGCACGGGAGTCTTTCTCGACGTTGAACAGACGTTTGATAGAGTCTGGCATCCGGGACTGATGTACAAACTCCGTAAATTCCTACCTCCTACATACTTCCTAATTATCCGATCCTACCTTACTGACAGACACCTCAAAGTAAATCATAACAATGCTTATTTATCTCTTTTTACTCAGTTTGGCGGTGTTACTCAAGGTAGTATCCTAGATCCTATCCTTTACACAGTTTATACAGCTGACATCCCAACTCAATCCAACGCTATCATCACCACCTATGCCGATGACACGTGTATCCTATCAATTAATAACGCAGTGCAATAATCTATTGCATCCCAAACTCTTCAATCACACATCACAATTCTTGAAAAATGGTGTCAAAACTGGAGAATTAAAATAAATTCCAATAAATCCCATCAAATTACCTTTACTCTTCGATGTAAACCTATGACTTCCTGTCCTACAGCATCCTTCAACAATAGCCCACTTATCCCAGTTGAACAAATCCGATACCTTGGACAAACGACTCACTTGGAACCCCCATACCAGACTGAAACGACTAGAAACCGCCCGACGTTTTCGAATACTGCAGCACGTACTAGACAAACGCTCTAAACTTCCAACTATTTTCAAAAGACTCATATATATTACCATAATACGGCGTATTTGGATTTACGGAATCGAGCTTTGGGACTCTACTAAACCATGAAATTCCTCTCGTATTCAATCCCTACAATCCAAAATCCTCAATGCTGCCTACTTTGTCACAAATAAAATGATCCATAACGATCTTAATGTACCATATGTTTCCGATTTAGCTCAATCCAGATATCTATCCTTTCATAATAAACTTCTTAACCATTCGAACCCTCTTGTTTCCAACCTTGCTTCCTCTTCTATTCCTGATAACCCTCCGAGGCGTCTGAAAAGAAGATGGCCTCGGGACCATCTAATATAGAAATATAATTGGAGTGCTACCAATGGGTAGTTTCTCTTCAAGTTGTACATGTCATGTTACTTATTTCACATTTACTTGTATTTATCATTTAATACAGTTATAAATTTCAATATTAAAAAAAAAAAATTATTCTGATGTATTGAATCGAACATAAAGGACACAGAGCGCTGGTCAGTGGTTATTGTGAAATATCGTCGTAATAGAAAGTATCTATCCCCAGTTTTAAATGAGCAAGGGCTCTTAGAGCAATAGAGGGAGTAAATAGCATAGGGCTCTTTCTCAACAGCTGAATGTCGCCGTTCGCTATGGTTGAGTTTTTGAGAGAAGAATACCACGGAGTGGCCGGATTGGGAGGGCACTACTGAGATTGAGAAATCGGAGGTTTATGTTTCGACAAAAATGGTTCTTTATCGTTGATGGCATCCATAATTGATTTTGATATCTCATTTTCTAGAAGCTTGAACTGTGAAACTACCTCAGGTGTTAAAGGGAAAATTCTAGAATTTAGAAAATTTCGAACTTTGAATAATTCGGAACCCATCTTGAACAGTGAGCGAACACTCCAATCGTCCTTAGAAGTTTTTCTAATTATTTGGAGGTGGTAGATTAAGGACTTTTTTTTTTGTCCTCCCCTTCCTCGCCTTTAAGGCTATACGGGGGTTTTCCCGGGCCAGGAAGTGTGGGCGGAGATTTAAAAACACCTCCGGACACCGGGACGCGAACTCGTAACTATTTTTTTTATCAAAGTCTTACGTATCAGGTTGCCGGGCAACGGCGGTGCAGTGCACACGCGTTAGCCCATTCGGCCACCCCTCCCACTACGGTAGATTAAGAACTGATTCCAAACGGTCTGGGGCAGGCGAAATAGTCTTATTCTCTATCTTATAGCCATGAAAACTAATAGAAGTTTGAGAAAATTTGCTTTTCTCATAGTTTATTGTGAATCCGTATTTTTTGACTGCATCCATATATCGTTTTAAATTATTATCATGTTCTTCATTGTTTGCTCCACAAACTGTTACATCATCGGGTACGTCTTTTCTATTTTTTCTTTGGCAATAACGTCATCCATGACTCGTGGAAACAAGGAACTCCGTCTGTCAGGCCGGATCAAAAGCTAGTCGCCGAAATTAATACAGACGGCCACAGACTTCGAAGGCAGTATAAGGACGATATTGTTCCCTGAGAGGAATCTGGTGGTATGCACTCTTGAAATCAATGCTACTAAAGCAAGAATTTTTCGATATACTAGTCACAGTTTGCTCAATATCCGGTAGAGGGTAAGCATCTAAGAGTATATATATCGATTAATTGTTTGTGAGTAATCGACCACCATTCTCTTTTTATGATTTTCCTTTTTAACTACCAATGCTTGCGCTCTCCATGGAGACCTACTTTCTTCAATTATTTTGTCCGCCAGAAGTTTTTCAATCTCCTTCATCATGAAGTTGTAGTCTTCCTCCAAATGTTTGCGGGATTTT